TCTTTCTTTCTCCTTCTTTCATTCCTTTTTCTCCCTCTGTTCCTCTCTCTGTCTACCATGTTTTACTCCCTTTCACTTCTTTTCTCACTCCATCTGTCTCACTCTGGTTCTTTCTTATTTTTGCCTTTCTCTGTTCCCCTCTCTCTCTCTCTCTCTCTCTCTCTCTCTCTCTCTCTCTCTCTCTCTCTCTCTCTCTCTCTCTCTGTCTATCTTTTAGTGGTCTCCTAACTTCAATCAGTGTGAATCTTCATGTGCAGATGATGTGAGCTGGTCTCTGCGTCTGTGTTTGAAGCTGAGAGTAAACACCAGTGAATGCAGATGAAGTCTGGTGAATATTTCCTGTTTAACCATAAACCAGAGGCTCCTCCTCCTGCTGCCTTTCTCCTCTCATTCATCCCCTCATTAGCATGGCAAATGGAGAAACGTTCCTCCTTTTCTTCCTGAACCACTCTTTCCCTCTCCCTTTCTGTTTCTCTCTCTCCTCTCCCTCTCTAATATTTTCCTGATGTGAGTTAGATCTCATGGAAGATCTGGGCTAGCTCTGCTCAGGCTTCAGCCTAGAGGCTCTAAACAGCACTGTATGGAAAGTGGCATGTTACCTTGTCATAGCTTTAAGTAAGAGCTGGATTCCATCCATTTATTTTTATTTAAAATACTAAATGAGGATTTATTAATTTTATATAAAATGTCATTAAATGAAAAATGAATAAATCTTGTGTCTGTGTGTTGTTGGCAGCAGTGCCCCTCTTGCCACTGGGGTCGTACCCTCGGAGGTACACCTCAGTGCCTTTAGTCAGGGAACATAACTGTACCGTAATCCACTGAAATTATATTCTCTATGTTGTATTGACTCAACACACCCCGTCTTTATTGTTCCGTTTTAAAACATTGTTATGAAAAGGCACAAATATGTACTTTTCACCTGGATAAAAACTTTAAGGTACACAACTGTTGTACCTTTGAGGGTACATTTACATTGTTTGTACCTGCACAGTACCTTCTTATCTCTGTAGAAGTTATTACATTAAGTGTTCTTCATTTTTGGCAAGAAAACAGCAGAAAGCATATGGTCTACAACCGTCTGTCAAGAATGATGGAGGATCACTGCAAGTTTAAGGATGTTTAACATCTGGTGCCGGTGATTTGTTTTTGATTGAAGGCATCATGAATAAGCACATGATGAGTACAAACAGATTTTATTACGTCATGCCGTACCCTCTGGAAAAGATTTAATTGGGAAGAAATTCATTCTACAGCAAGATAACTAAAGGATCAAGCTGTACTTGGCGAACAAAGAAGTTGCTGGTGTTTTAAGAACAATGGACTGACCACTCCAGAGTCCAGACCTCAGCATAACTGAATACTTGGATTGTGAGAAGCAGAAAATGTAACTAACTTCTAAGACTGAACTTTGGAGGTGTGGAAAAATATCCCTGCCCATTTCTTTGAGAAACTGAAAAGAAGAATTGGTAGTAAATGAAAAGGGCAGACGCGCTTGTGTGTTTCTGTTACTCGTACTTAATGGCTGGTTAAAATAAATAAATAAATACTGACTTTGTCTGACTTTTGTCCAGCACTGTGAAGATGTGCAGTGTGCAAAGTGCAAACAGACAGAGCAGGATGTAGGTGTATTTTTAATGTGGGCTGACAAATGGGCAGCATACGTGATGTTATTGCTATAGAATCAGTAACTAATAATGAAATAAATAATAAACTGCCGTTAGTAACTTTAAACTGTAGCAACTTCCTGCCAGCTTTAACTGAGGCTCCACAGGCCTCTCCACAGCATCGCCTACAGCTATATGGAATGTCCTACCGTCCAAACATGGGTGCTTGCCAACCTTTTTGCCCAGTTTTCCTCTCTCTCTCTCTCTCTCTCTCTCTCTCTCTCTTTCCCTCTCTTTTCCTCCTCATGGCAACAAAAAAATGACAAATGCAGTGGAACAAGATGGATACACATTGACCTTTCTCAGTGTATTTTGGGTATGTTAGTTTTTCCTTTTCCCCCCTCAAGCATTCTTTGCACCTTGGCAGAAGTGGAATTTGTAGCTTTGCTTTTGGCCTTGTAATAAATGGTGCTGCTTAGCTCCATTAAGGGCTGAAGGCATCTTGAAACTGGGCTCTGGTACACTGAAGCCTGTAGTTGTGTAAATGATGGGGTGCATTACAATATTAAACAGATAATTCACACACACACACACACACAAATTTTCTAAACTGCTCATCCTTCTGGGTCTCGGGGGGGTTGCTGGAGCCTATCCCAGCGGTCATTGGGCAGAAGGCAGTATACACCCTGGACAGGTCGCCAGTCCATCTCAGGAGGAGTAGTTCAGTGAACAGTAATTACCCTCTTTCCCCAAATGTAGTCAGTCAGCCAAGATGTGTTTGGTGTCTGAAGTTTACTTCTATTAGTTTTGTCATAGCCGTTATTCTGGTATGCCAAGGATAACGTACAAACAGTGCAAACCACACCAGCCTTAGCCCTTTTTAGCTGGCTAAGCCAGGGCTGTTTCAGACACATTTCAAATGAAAACAAAAGAGCAGCAGTCCCTCGATCGCCTCTCACTGTCTCGTCCTTTACATTTGAGGTAGTCTGCTTTCAGGCAGCAGATCTAAAGGAATGTCTGGTCTTTTAGGGTTAGACACCAGACAAATTACCATACTTCGTCTCGTACCACCTGTTCAACTGTAATATTTTCGGTCAGAAGCATGAGTGTATTGGACACACATACGAGACAAATGACTGCGACAAAGCAGAAGTTCCCTTCTTATTCAAAATTCCCATTCCATCTTAAATGGTGCAGCAGATGCATTCAAGCGCCTGTACAGGTGCCACAATGCAACTGCTGCTCCATTTAAGGTGGAATGGAAAATTGGAACAAAAAGATGCACCTTTTACAGCCAATTTTTCCAGGCCGGTTAGCGTAAAAAAAGCAGTATTGACGTAGGTTTATCTATATATGGCTCAGTTTTGTTTCGTATTATCTTGCACAATGAAAATATTTAATTATCATGTTTGCCTTAAAGAGTTGTTTATTATGTCAGTAGCCTTTAAGTGGTTTCTGAAACTGTATGTACTCTCATTCTGTCCTAGCATTGACGTGCATCTTGAGTGATTCATAAGTCAATAAGCCATAGTAAATGGCTCTAAATAAAGGTGTAAGAGGTGCCCGGTGCATCTTGGGAGACATATTGTTATCTCATCACTCAAACCACCTTCAGAGCTCGTCAGGGATGCATATGATCACATTTTAGAGATATGGAAAAATATCCCTGCAGATTTCTTTGAAAAACTGAAAGAACGTCTCCTAAAAAGAATGGAAGCAGTAATAAAAGAAAAGTGTGGACACACTAAATACTGAACAAATGGATAATTGAATTAGTTGTCTGTGTAGTTTGTCAGCCTTGGGCAATCCAGTTATAAGTGGACAGCACCAAGTACAGATGTAAACTGGGTACAGTGCATCTTTGAGACTCTTTGTGATCTGATTGCTCAAACCACCTTAAAAGGTGGTCAGAGACACATTTTCGTAGTGTGACCCTTAAAGTCCTCTTTTGGTCAGCATGTCTAATAATTATATTGTACATAGCTATTCTTAAAGATGGGTTGGCTCACTTTCCATTAATTTAATTTAATTTAATTTAAAAAGTCTTTTGAGTTTGCCTGTGTGATGATAGTTTTCATAGCTTCCATTACTTGTTACATTAGTTTGGTTGCTCCAGTGCAAAACTAAAAACACCAAACATCTGGTGTCATTTAGTATAAGGAGGAAATTTTTGATTTTTGATTTGAGAATTTGATTTGTTTGTTTGTTTTTTTTGTTTTTTTTGTTTTTTTGCCAAACCAGCTCTTTGAGTCCCTCTAGGACATCTCTGCTGGCCATCGCTAGCACAGTGCTCTCCTGTTCCCTAGCCAATTTCACTTTTGTCTGAGGATAGAAGAGTGTATCTCAGAGGGAGGTATGCAGAGGATAGATGGAGAGATGAAGAGAGAGAGAGATGGAAAAAAGGCTGTGGGCAGATTGCTGGCGCTTCTCTCTTTTCATGGCCAGAGCCCAACACTTCAAAAGCCAGTTCTGCCCAGCCAGGAACAGATGGCCTTACAACAATAATATTATGCCTTTCCACCTCTCTTCTCTTATTCTCTCTTTTCTCTTTCTCTCGCTCATATCCATTTTATACTGCCTTCTGTTTACTGACAACATAATAATCTTATATTTTCAGTGACTTTGGTGTCTGTTTTTCAGATCAAATCTGTTTTGTTGGCTAATTGAGAACTTAGAAATACAGTGATAGTTTAATAATGACATTTTATGGTCTGTTTCTTTGTCTTCATTAGCTCTGGTGTGTTAAGTTGGCAGAATGTCGATATGTTATCCAGTTTTTCTACCCAGTTTTCTCCCCAATTTGGTCACGGCCTGTTCTCACCTGCCATTTCAGTCTTCACCCATCACACAGTGCTACCAAACTGTGTCCTTACCAGGACACAAAGCACCAGCGTTCTTCAAAATACTGATAATGCAGCGTCATTCAACAGCTCAACACACTTGGAGGAGAACACTAATTGCCATTTCTGTTAATTCCCAGTTACTGGTGGCTATGGCATCGCTGGGGATCGAAATCACAGGCTCCCGACGATAGGGTCAACGCTTAGACCCATTCGTTTACCTTTACCAATTGTTTGGGTTTTTTTTCCTTCTGTTCTAGTTTATTTTTGGAAATATTGAATGAAAAAAGTCATATTACTCATTGTTTACAGCAAAATGTGGCACTGATGTTTTGGTGTGGTACATTTTTTTCTGTTCCAGCTTGTTCATAAACTTCAGAAAAACTAAATATTGTTGTAGAAAGAGACAGAGTTGTGGCTCCAGCTTCATGTTGAGGCTTGTTTGTGAAATAAGACTCGACTGGGTTCTGACAGTCAAGGCTGTGCTGTAACTGTACTAACACCACCTCTCTCCTTGTTTTTTTCCTCCTTTTTTCTCTGTCTCTCCATCCAGGGCATCTGGCGTATTCCGGTAGATGAAATCGATCGGCCGGGCAGTTTTGCGTCTCATATGAACAGATCCATCGTGCTACTGCTGGATGTTCTGTGTCAGTTAAGGGATCACGACACGCTGCTCAAAATTTCCCTCATGCTCCAGAGAACCCCTGACCAGGGAAAGTAAGCACAGCCTTTTTGTTTACTTTTGACGTTAGGGATGGATTTGTTATCAGCTTTAATTATTTGCTACAGTCTTCCTGTTTTCTATTAAGGAGCATTTATCCATCATCTCATGTCCTTAATTTTTGTTTCTCACCAAGCTGTTTGTTGTACTTTTGCATATACATCATTGTTTTGAGTGTATGTGTGTGAAATCTTCACTCTGTCTGGGTGGTTGTGTGTTTTGTAGGAAATATTTGCGGGATGTGGACCGGCAGGTTTTGGCCAAACGCGCCTTCTTCTTCACTGTGAAAGTGCTGGAGGACAATCTGGATAAACTCACTGCGGTACGACTGCCCTTTTTCTGTTCTCTCTGGCCTTTAGCTTACATGGAAGTGGGTAATTTGCTCTTTTAAATGCTGTCATTGTGGGTCCTGATTGTATGATTCATGCCAAATAACTCATCCTTCTCAGGGGAGCAAGGTTCAGCAAGTTCCGCACTCACAATTGGCACTTTTCAGAACACTGCAGCTATGACTAATTGCCCAATTCCAATATTTTGCTCAGATTCCGAGATTTTTGCCGTGGCAGGTCACGTTCATCACTGCAAGTGACCCATCATCTTTCACAATGGATGATGACAGCAGTGATACGTATGCACAGTGACACATGATTGGGGGGGGGCATGAATTGCATCTTCTGTTTTTTCCTTCTGTTTCTGGCGGGAGTATGTCAAAATAGTGATTTAGTATTGTGAAATAATGGCTTATTTTCTTAGACTAATTCATGTAATTTCATCAATGTAAGTCATTATTCTCTGATATTAAGTCAGTAATTTTGAGGAAATATCCATTTTTCCAAGATACTAATGCATTGTGAAGACAAAATAAGTCGTCATTCCGGGATGCTCAGTCATTTTAGAGATCTAAAGTCAATATTTTCAGAAAATAAGTCATTGTTTTGAGATACTCAGTCAATATTCTGAGACAATAAGTCATCATTTCATGATGCTACCTGAATATTGTGCCTTACTGCTGCCAGAAACCGAAAAAGAAGAAAAAAACATAGGCATCAAAATGTTATGTTTTTATTTTGCTACCCATGGACAGCAGATGAAAATTAGCCGCTCAGATAAATCTGACACATTAACGTCACAGAACAATGACATCGATTTGGTTTGGTCCTGAATTGTGACATCTCTGTCACTTATAGCCAAAACGTTTTGTGTCTTATTTATTCCACCATTCATTCCCTCATTCCCCCAGGTATCCGATCCTTCTCTTAAACCTTCCACCTCCTCCATGGGTGAGATGACCACAGCCGACGTGTCCAGCCGGCCTCCTGCCACGGAGGACCCCAAATGCTCCCAACCTCCGCGACCTAAACAAAGCCTCCCAGACGCAGCCTCTGCTCCAGGCACGGACATCACACCCTCAGAAACTTCCCAGCACCAGCCTGGACCACCTCACCCCTCTTTACAGCCTGGGATCCAGGCCCAGGGTCCAGCAGCCTCTACTCAGCCCAGAGAAAGCAGCTCAGGCTTGGGGGAGCCCATGGAGCTTGGTCCATCACCCTGGACGGGTACCATCAAACCCAGAGACCCACAAACACCCACTGATGGCGTTCCACCAGAGCAAGGAAGGTCAGCAGCAGAGGGGGCAGAAAAAGTTCAGGAAAGCAGCCGGACTCCCGAATTGTCGCTGGAGGAGCTGAGCATTAGCTCCAAACACCAGCTGATGCAGGTTCAGGCAAGCACGGCTAAAGGGCCGCATGCTATGGCTGTTAGTTGCCCTGTTAGCCAGACTGGCAGTCAGGAATTGGGTTTGTTGAGGCGGCCTAGTAGGAAAAGGAAACTTCTGGAGGATGCGGAGTCCGGCAAGACGCTCCTGTTGGATGCTTACAGAGTGTGGCAGCAGGGTCAAAAGGTCATGACGTATGACCTCGGGCGCATCGAGAAGATCATGTCGGAGACGTACATGCTGATCAAACAGGTGAGTGTGTTTGCTGGTTGTAGTGATGGGCATTTTCACAATATTAGATCTTTGAATGTCCCCATTTTCAGTGAAGTATTCTGCAAGCATGAGCCTGATAACATGATCGGTACCAGATTTTTTATTTTTTTTTAGTCCATAGTCATTTATTTTTGCATTTTAGGAGCTTAGCACTTTAGCATCTGCCCTAAATACACAATTTCCACTGTATATCATTCATCATTTTGTTATGAGCTACACAATTTTAAGTTGCTCATGCAGCGGAGAAAAAAAAAACATGTTGCTTCTCATTAAATGGGCAAACTGTGGCAGTGTGGAGGATGCTTTTTCTACTTTGAAAAAGGAAAACAGAGAGTTTCTCCAGCTCATTCAGGAGCTTAAACTTCATGCACTTCATTTCACTTGCAGTTCAGATCTGCATAACTCAGATTTTAACAGCTAGTTCACTTTAAATGAACCAAACGCAGTTCTGTTAAAGTGAACCTTAAAGGGAACCAACTGCAAATGATTCCAGTGCTTTTTTTCACAATGCAAGCAAACTTAAAAGGGACTCGGTTCTCTTTCTGGTCCTTTTTGGTGTTGATGAAATCTCAGACCTGTTGTTGTTCACACCAGAACCCATTTAGAAATGTCAAATTTTGGGTAATATTGTTAAAATTTCCCTCATGGTAAAATACTCCAATTGCACTAGAGCTACACTATTAAAAACAATTAAATGGTCACCACTGTTTGTAAAATACATTTTGATCTAGATGATTTTTTTTTTATTGAGTATCGTTTTTATTTTATGGTATATTATAATTTCTATCACCGCTTAATTAAAGCCTCTCTAGTCTACATTACAGTGATTTCAATTCAGGTAATGGGTTTAGCTGAGACCTTGTGCATCTGCTGCAGCAGAGCTCCTGCATCCAATTGGAAGTTAATGTGTTTGAAAGCATAGCAGTGAATTTTCCACGTTCAGTATAAAAGCAGCATAATGTTACATGTATCTGCCATCAGCCTTAAACACAGAATAATCACACAGGCTCTTGCATCTTATTGCTTTAAAGTGTCAGCTCTGCTGTCTTGTCACAAGATCATGGGCAGGATTAATCCCATGCAGTACCTTATATATGATCTGTGGTACTTTATATATGACTCGCAGGCCAAGTCAGTCCCGTGGCACGATCCTATGTGCTGTGGCTGTTTACATGGTAACCCTCAAGGTCTTTTAAACATAAAGCAAAACACAAAGTGAGCTGGGGCCATTTTGTTTTTGCAACGCACAAATCAATCAGACCACGAAACAGACTACAAACGACCTGTACGAGAGGTGGTCTGTAGTTTGGTTTGTTTTGTGGGACTGTTTAGAGAGGTCTGAGCTCATTTGACATGTTCACATATGCGCAGAAAGCCATGACTCAGCAGTCTGAGCCCACTCGAGACACTGAAGCGGTCCAAGTGTGAAAACACCCTCAGTTTGAGCTGACTTTGGAGATGCAGCTCCACACAAGACGAAGCACAAGACAAACAAGCCAAATGTCTTCAAGTGCAAATAAGAAATCTTTTGCTCCTCAGAGAACAGGAAAACAGACTCTGGGCTCCTTTGCATTTTGTTAAAGCGAAAGTCACGTGTGAAGCCCATGCGTCAAACACAAGATCTGTGGGCCAAGTCAGGCCTGTGGCACGATCCTATCCAGCCCGAGAAATTATTTTAACAATTCTGTTTATATTGGCCCATTTCAGTTACGCAACAAAATGAAAAAAACTACCTGCTGGGGACATTTAAAAAGATATAGTGGTTATCTGTAGCTAATGTAGCCTGTTCTTTTATAAAGAAATTAACTTCTCTCTTGAAATTATTTTTAAATAGTTCTAGTATTGATGTAATATTTAAGAGTTTAAGTTGCCTGTTTTGCTATTGCAGTTTTGGCATATTTTGAATAAGTGGTTGCCAGTACAGGTGATTTATTAGAGAGTTTATGTCGCTGGCAAAAGTTTGCAAAAAAAAAAAAAAATTGCATTTTTACCATCTGAAAAATTGCATTTGGTGTGCAAGATATTATCAGTTATATGCATTTCCTGCACAAATAAATCACTTTTAGGGTGTAAAGGCCTTTATACTGAAATAACTAACTAAACTTCCGTTTGATTACTGGAAATCAACAGTCTGAGCTTTAGCATGGGTTGCTAATGTTTTAGAATAAACATCCTTATATATTTCATTATATTTTGTTATTCATTTCAGTAACAAATGCTGTGTTGCTGTCGTCTCCTTTTCAGCTCCTCTTGCTATGTAATTTCTGTTTGTTGTGTCTCGACATGCAGAGGTTTTTCTGCTGTCAGTGCTTGTGAAATGTTGACAGTGCGTCATTATAGAAGCATAATGATGGGGAAACCCCTGTTCCTCGGCCGGATGACTCGACATGAAAACGCTGAGCTGATGTATTAGGGGAGATACGAATAAGCCGCAGCGTTTTACAGTCCGCGCTCTGCACTGTCGCTCGCTGGAGGCCTCAGGAAACTATTCTGTACATACAAAACTCACTTCTCTGCAAACTGCGTTGTTACCGAATAGTTTTGATTGAATTCTAAAGAGAAATGTACTAACTGATATGTAGCACTGCAAAGTTGGGCAGAAAGAATCTTAGTATCATTGACCCCTGCAGCTGGTGCTGTGGGTGTTTGTCTCCTGACTGCCTCCACCCTCTTCCGTTCTTAATTTTGTTAACTTTCTACTGCAGCGCTGTTTGGACTTTCTCATTGCACACATAGCTGTACAGCCTTATTGTGATCTAGCATTTGTAAAATGTATGCTGTAGTTCTGTCTAGTTGGCCTGTCTGTGATGATAATGAGAAAAGTCTTAAGGAGTAACAGGATGTTTATGCCCTACTTTAACCTCTTACACTTTCAGGGAAATGTAGATGGGCCACACTGCCGTTCCTCACTCTCACAGCTGTATAATTGACACAATACAGTTACTGAGGCTACGTTCACATTACGAAGTGGCACAAATCCATTTTTTTGCCCTAATGTGTCTCAGATCTGATGTTTGAGCTGTGTGAACACACAAGTCTGATCTTTTCAAAACTGACCTGAGCCACTTTGGCTATGTGCACATTACAAGCCTCATTGCTCAAATCCATTTTTTTGGCTTAGTCCAATTAATAATAGTTACTGAATACTTTATAGTACGTTCTGAATAATTCTTAGAATGAATCATAGTAGTCACTGAATGATTCATAATGATCACTGAATGATTCATAGTGATCACTGAATGATTCATAGTAGTTATTGAATGACTCATAGTAGTCACTGAATGATTCATGCTAGTCACTAAATGATTCATAGTAGTTTTTAAATGACTCTTAGTAGGTACAGAATGATTCTGTGTAGTTTCGTAATTATTAGTGATTAATGAATAATAATGTGAAATTTATAACTGAATAATTTGCTGTTTAAATAGCCTGCTGTGAAAAATTAAAGCGTAAGAAACACATTAAATATAAATGTATAAAATAATACAAAATGATTCCCTTTCTCATTAAAAGAGGACTAACAATGACATGAGGCTTAATTTAAACTGAACATGGCAAGATAGCATGCCTAATTGAATAGGATTAGCCTAAGATCATACTAAATTAACTGAAACTACATTTGAATACATCACTTTACCTATCCATTTACCTTTCCATGGTTTGCTTACGTTTCTGTAGTAGAATAGGTTATCTGCATTATCAGTAGCTGCTTTTTTAGGACTGAATAAGGAAATTGAACTACTGAGAATAAGCTTTTCAGATCTTATAGTTGAGCAGTATACTCATTCAGTGGCTTTCACTGTTGATTATATTTGAGTAATTGAGAAATTTAACGATTTTCTTTTTTTATTTTTGTGATATAGATACACATAATTAGGGGCGAGCTGTACATATGCATGATATATTAATGCACCTTTAAATAAGTGAAAATGAGTTTTTGGACAGTGTATTTTACATCTGCTCTTATTGTTTTCAATCCTGTTTCTTCTAAATTTGTACAAATAAATATGTGAAAAGAAACTCATTTAATTGAGATTAATTAGTTTGTGTACTCAATTGAGATTAATTACGTTTGTCTTATTTGCTCATATTAGACATATATATTTGCTCAGATATGACCTGGAGAAAAGAGCTATGCATGTTTTTATTGCTGTATAAGTGGACAGTTTAAGTTTCAGAAGAATATATTTATTACTTTATTTTAGTAGCATTGCTTTCATCATTTGAACGCAAAGTTTACATGAACCTTAACCTGAAAATCTGGAACAAAAAAGGAAACTGGAAAACAGAAACAGATTAAAAAACAGGATTTAGACATTTATAAGAATAATGTTCTAATCTGTTTCAATTCAAGGTATTGATTGAGATAATAATAATAAGTTGAATATGTACAAAGCCACCATTTCTAGAGTACTTGCTATTGGGAGGTGTCTGTCCCAAAACCTAACCCCTAAATATTAACCTGTGAAAATATTTTCAATTATTTTTAAGAGCTTTTTGATTTCTTGAAGTGACATTGAACGATTTAGATTTGTCATGAGTTTAGTTTTTAACTAAAAAACTTGATTCAAAAAATGCTGTCCCAAATTTTCACGTCACTACCGAAACACTGCGTTTTAGTCCATAGGCGGAGCCTTATTTTAGCCACACCCCTGCAGGTTAGAGCAGTAAGTGAGACTGCATGGCCACATGGTGAGCAGTTAGATCCTATCGTTTTGAAGTAAATGTGTCCCAAAGTTGAAAAATCATTAAGAACTGTCATTACCAAAACACACATTTCCTGTAATTAAGTAAACATTTCTGTGTTTTAATGAAAATATTATGATTTTATGTGTGTACAACTGTTCAAGGCCATGTTTGCTAGTCATGTACTGGCTAGGGTTTTTTTGATTTCAGCCAAAACATTTGGTGAAGTTTGTGTACTGCTATGATTGTTTTGTCAGTGACAAAATAGAGTGTTCAGTCGAGGCCAGTTCAAA